TCCAGCAGCTGCTTCTTGGCCACCTCCTCCAGCAGCCACCGCTCGGCGCCCGCCGGGCACGCCGGGCAGCGCGGCTCGGCCGCCGCGCACAGAACCGCGGCCAGCAGCAGCCACGGGCCCGAGCCACGCGCCGCCATCCGCGCCCACCGGACGGCACGGGATGGGCACCGGCAGCGGCACTGATGGGGCGGGACGGGCACCGGCAGCGAGGGACCGGCACCGGCAGCGAGGGACCGGCACGGGACGGGAGGGGCACCGGGAGGAGCGGCACCGGGAGCGGCGCGGCGCGGCCCGCTTTGGGCACCTGCGGCCCCGGGGGCGGTCCCGCCGCCCCCCCGCCCCCCGCCATTGGCCGCCGCACCTGCCTGGCCCGTCCCGTCCCGTCGGGGATTACCGGGATTAGCACCCCACCCCCTTCCTCCCGCGGGGGGGTCGCTGAGCAGCCCCCCGGCCTCCGCCGTGCCCGGTCCTCGCCGACCGTCCCGCGGGGAACCGAGCAGCGGCCCCCGGCGTGCCCGCGGGGGTCGAACGAGAGTGAGGGGCGGGGGTCGTGCAGGGGGAAGTTCATACGGGTGTGTGCACGCAGTGGAATGTGGGCGAGGGGCTCTGCGTGCGGGGCACCCTGGCATCTGCCCACGGGGAGGAGAAACCCCGGCAGCCCCGCAACGGGCAGCGGGATCCTCCAAAACCTTCAGGGAGTGAGGGCTGGGGCGAATCCTGGCCAGCAGGGGAGCCAGAGCAGGGATCCCAGCTCGGCTGCCCATCCATGGGTGGCACAGAGCTGCACCCAGCCTGGGCACTGCCCCCCGGGCACCCTCGAGCCATCCTGGCAGTGACAGTCTCGTTTGGGGCTGATAGAGGACCCAGCAGGGATCAGGGGACCTGCAGCTCCTGGGGACTGTCACATCTCTGGGCTTTTGTCACTCCCAGCAGGTTTTGGGGGTCTGAGCCCACCCCTTGGACCACCTGGTCCATCCCCAGCCCGGGGCAGAGCTGGGAAGGGCCAGGTAATGCATGGACAGTGTTCCCTCCTCCTCACAAAATAAAAAGAGGATTTGTGTGTCCCGAGGACTCAGGAGGTGACAGCCAGCATCACTTCAAGCTGAAGGTGTTCCTGGGACTCTTTGGAGCGGGATGTGCAGGCTGAGGCAGGGCAGGGGCTGGCAGAAACCTCACCAAAGTGATGCAAGATGCCGCGCTGTTGGGAGATTGGCAGCAGGGAGAACTTGAAGCCCTGCCAGGCCAGTGCTCCAGCATGTCCTGTGCCCACTGCGCCGTGCACCGACTCCAAGGTCTTGACCACACGGAGCCCCTGGCCCTGGCCAAGCCAGAGGTGCCATGTAAACAGAGTCTGGGAAAAAGCACCCACCGGAGGTGATGCAACCCCGGAGCAAGGGGCAAAGGGCTCAGCTGGCTGGCAGCTCCCAGAATAGCCCAGGAATGTCAACAGAGAGGAGCCAGTGGGCACCGGCTGGCCTGGGAGCACAGATCCCACAGGGCTGGGAGCCCTGGCTGCAGGGATGGAGCAGGCGGCACTGCCAGCCGGGCACAGGGCACACGTGCTGGTGGGCAAAGATGCTCCCATGTGGAGAGCGACTTCTTAAAGCACCCGGAGGGACAGGAGCAGGGGTGACGAGCTCCCACTGACAGGACAGAGTTAGGTGGGGTATGGGGAAGCAATTCCTCGCTGTGAGGTTGGTGAGGCGCTGGCACAGGGTGCTCAGAGAAGCCTCCCCATCCCTGAAGTGTTCAAGGACAGGGCTTGGAGCAGCCTGGGGTGGTGGAAGGTGTCCTTGCCCATGGTAAGGGCTGGAGCTGGATGAGCTTTCAGGTCCCTTCCAACCCAAACCATCCTGGATTCTGTGATGCACACTCACACATGTTCAGGCCCTCTCTCAAATATCTGATACCTGCTCCATGTTGGACGGGCTCCTTGTGCCCCACACACCCATCCCCAGCTGTGCTGTGTTCCTCCATCCCTGGCAGCTCCCAAAACCAGGGGCTGCGGCACACAGGAGGAACACAAAAGTGTGGGAAGAGGATGAGGCACTGTCCAGAACACCCAGCACTCTGCAGCACACCCGCCCTCCATTCCAGGCTGTGAGCTGGGTCTCCCTGGACCCCCCTGCGTGGGGCAGCACCCCATGAACCCCCACAGCCCCTCCATCTCGTTAAGAGCATCCCCTCCCCAGCCCCTCGCAGCCGTGCCCCCCGGCACGCTCCGGGCCCGGATCTGGGGCAGGGGTCAGCGCGGAGCTCTTGCACCCATTGCATAATTGTGTTGTTGATTAAGCGGTTCCCAGAAAGCAAAGCCCAGGCACTGACCTGACCAAAATACCCCCCAAGGTCCCCCCGGGCCCAGGTGCACACATGGCTCTGGGGCCTCTGACCCCGTGGCCGTTGGGGCGAACGTGGCACCTGGTGACCCGACCTGGAGGTGACAATGGCCGGGCTGAGCCAGGACCCCCCAAGAGTTTGTGCAGCAGCACCTGAGCATGCCTCGTGGAACCATGGAATCATGGAATCATTGAAGCTGGAAAAGCCTGGCTCATTGAGCCCAGCCATTAAGCCAGCACAGCCAAGGCCACCACAAAACCACGTCCCCAGCTGCCACATCTGGGTATTTTTGAACACTTCCAAGGATGGTGGCTCCACCACTGCCCTGGGCAACCCATTCCAGGCTTGGCCGCCCTTTCCGTGATGAGATTTTCCTTAATCTCCCATCTAAACCTCTCCTGACACAGCTTAGGCCGTTTCCTCTTGCCCTGCTGCTCGTTCCTCTGGCGCCAGTCCCCACAGTGGTGGCACTGGCTGGGAATGGGCCATGGGACTGGGAATTAAACATTAACTCTTCTCAAGGCAAGGGAAGGGACTGTTAGAAATTCCCACCCCTCCTGGGAGCTGGACCTGCCCAGGGGGCACTTGGCACAGTGTGCTTGGACCTTTGCTTCAGGGGCTGTTGATTCTGGCAAAGGCTCCTTCCAGCACATCTGTCCCCTCCTGGAGTGGAGATGGAGGGGACATCATGTCTGTCCCCGTCTGTGCCACATCTGGATTGAATCCCTGTCCCCACGGCATTGCTGTGCTGGGGGCTGCAGGGTGGGCTCCCCACTGGCCTTACTGGTCCCAACAGGACAATCCCCCAGCACCGGGCCCGAGCCACCCCTTCCAAATCCTCCTGGGACATCAGGGGACACCAGCAGAGCACGGAGTCACGGCAGGGAGGAAGGGTCACTCTTCCCTGGCTGCACCCTCCTCACCCTGCATGGGAAGTGCCACTTTGGAATTCCTGAGCCTGGTGAGGAAGATTTAGGGTGTCTCCTGTGGGAGTGGGACAAGCCTCAGCATCTCAGGGTTGTGCTGCTTGAGCTGAGGGGTCTGTAGGGCCACGGGACCAGCCAAGGGCTCTCTTGTCCCTTCCCTGGTCCCTGCGTGCCCACGGCTGCTGCATCCCAGGAAGCTTGGCAGCGGCTCCGGGGAAGTTGTTTGTTCAATAAATATAGACAGTGAAATGAGGAGTTGGAAAAAGAAGGGATAAAACAAACACCAAACCCTCTTTGGGTTTGCGCAAGCGGCCTTGGATCCCAGACGGGATCGATCCCCGAGCCTTCCTCCCTTCCCCTGTGGCCACCTGGATCTGGGGAGATGGGGGTCCCTGCTCCAGCAGGGCGGGTGGGAGGATGTGTGACAAACTGCCACACGCTTGTGGCCCTCCCATCCCTTCTCCAGTGTCCCCAGTCCTCCAGGACAGCCCATCCCTGCTCCGGCTTGTGGCTCGCTGCTCCTGGAGCAGGGACAGGACGTGAGGCTGGATGGGGAGAGGGTCTGGGAGCCCCTCCTCACTCTTCTGGGCCTTTCCCTGCCTGGATCAGCTCTGTCCCAGCCCCTGGGGTGGGTTGTTAACACTTCCAGGTGGATCCCAGGGCTGAGGTCACCTGGCTGGGGACGTGGGGGTCCCCATTCCTTTGGGGCTTCATGGCAGCAGCAGCTACAGGGTGTGTGCATGTGGGAATCTATAAAATCAGAGGGTTTTGGGAAAGCTGCAAAAGGCAGGCTTCAGAGACAGCAGAACTGTGATTAGAGCTGAGCAGTTACCATAAAATAAATCAGTAGAAAAATTATGTAAAAAGCAGAAAAGTGAGGAAAAATAGAACAATGATCGGTGTATTAACGGGGACAATGTGCACCCTGCCCTGGCTCCAGCAGAGCTGCTCGTGGCTCATCACCCTGGAGAGGGCAGTGGGTGCAAAGCTGGGTGTGGAGAGGCTCTGACACCATCTCCACCCTCTCCCCACCTGCACCAGCCCCGTGGTTGTCAGCACGTGCAGGGTGGACCCTAAAGCTGAAGTCACCCCTCAGGCATCACCCTCCCCTCCCAAATGTCCCACTCCAGCCCCTTCTCCCCTCTTTTCCAGTCCTCGCACAAGGGGGACACGTGGGGAGGGGTGGAGAAACCCGAACCTGTGGTTACGTAACGGGGCAGGAAAAAGTGTCGGAGCCGCCCTTTGTCCCCCGCTCTCACGGCCCTGACGTGTCCCACTTCACTGTCACCACGCTGGCGAGGGACAGGGGGCCGGGGATGAGCCCAGGGGATGCTCTGCAGTGGGGGAACTGGGGGGTCCTGGGTGCTGAGGCTGCCCCAAAATTCATCCGCTTCAAAAGGCAGAAGAATTTCTCAGTTCCGTCCTGATTTGGGACAGGGATGGCCAAAACCAGGTGGTTTTGGTGGAATTTTGGGGGATTTGGTGCCTTTCCTGCTGGGAATTCCAGACCACCTGTGTCCAGGGGGGTCCCATGCCTTTCCCTGGATCTGGCTGGGATGAATTTGGGGTTCTGCACCCCATGGGAAAGGCAGCAGAGAGCATGGGAGGTCTTTGGGAGCAGCGTGGAGAGGCCCAGTCCCACTGCCTGGGTTTGCAACGACAGACTGGGTCTGTCCCGTGCCACCCCAGGGGCACTGGAAGGTGTGCCAGTGAATGACAGGGCACACATCACTGCGAGTCTTTATTGACCACCAAGCTGGGATTCTTGGAGAGGGAGACATTCCTCCCACCGGGGTTGATTTCCCTCTCCTCTCCCTCCTCAGCCGCGTGTCCCCCCAGGTGGGGCCATGGGGGTGACCCCTGTCCTCGCCAGCCCCAGCAGCCCAGGGTGGCCACTGGCGGGTCCTGGGCTGATGTAGCAGCGCCCAGGGCACCCCAGGATGGCAGAGGGACTGTCCCTGATGTGGGCCCTGCAGGATCCATCAGTCCATCTGTCCATCAGTCCATCAGGACTCCATCAAGAGCCGATCTGAGGGGCTCTGAGAGGAACCCGTGGGCAGATCCGTGCGGGAGGTGAAAGAGGAGGGGATTCACACATTCAGCATCACCCTTGACGCTTCACCCGCGGGAGGAGAACCCCCCCGGGCAGAGCTCCTCCCTCCCAGCCGGGAAGAGGGAGCCCCGTCCCGCCGCGTCCTGCCCTCCCACCCGCCCCGGCCGCGCTCAGGTGCAGCCGCAGGAATCCACGATCATGTCGGGGATGTCGGTCTTGACGATGTTGCTGTCGCGATCGTAGTAGAGCAGGGAGAGGGGCCGGCGCTGGGTGGGAACGCAGCAGGAATCCACGGCGGCCGCCGCGCTCGCCGCCCTGACGCGGTTGAGCACGGCGGTGTGGAAGGAGGCGGCGAGGCCGGGGATGCCGGCCATGTGCAGCGGGCACAGCCCCGAGCAGTAATTCATGTGGTAGCCCTCGGGCTGGATGATCCAATCCTCCCAGCCGATCTCCTTGAAGTCCACGAAGAATTCCCGGCGGCAGCACGTGCGCGACTCCGCGCCGCACTCGACGCCGCGCCGCCGGACGCGGTGGCGTGTCCTGGCCTGGGCTCGGGCCACCACGAACGGCCAGTGGGAATCGCCGCGGTGGGACGGCAGAGGGGACCCCCAGGCCTCCGGCACCTCCAGCTCCACTGTGAGCCGTGGGGTGTCCTGTGTGAAGAGGTTCTGGAGTGCTGCTCCCACGTCCAGCGTGGTCCAGCCGCGTTTCTGCACCTGCAGCCGCGTCTCGCGGGTCACCGTCAGGTTTGGCCCTGCCGGGTGTGGCTGCAGGAGCCTGACGGTGACAGGCTGTGCCCCGAGCCCAGGGGGTGCCCAGAACAGGTACAGAGTGGCCTGCTGGATCTCAGTGCTGCCGGCCACCTCCTGGGAGAAGCGGAAATGCAGCCGGACGCTGCGGGAAGCGGAGGGTCCTGCGAGCAGAGGCAAGAGCAGGGTCAGGAGTGAAGGGAAAGAGGGAGTGATGCTGTCCCACCCCTTCCTAGGGACGCCTTCCTCTGCTCCAGGTTGTGTTCCAGGGTCCCAGGATGAGGGAAGAGATGAGAATCTTGACTCCGTGTTTCAGAAGGCTGATTTATTATATTATATTAAAATGTTCTACTAAAATTATACTAAAAAGAATGGAGAGAAAGGAGCTATCAATCTTGTGGCTGCTCAAAGCCTCAACACAAGTGGCTGTCATTGATCATCAATTAAAAAAACAACTTTACATGCTGGGTAAACAATTCTCCAAATCACATTCCTAAGCAGCTCCGCTTAGGAAGAAGAAAACACGGAGAAGCTGAAGCTTCCCAGCTTCTCAGGAGAAAAGATCCTGGCAAAAGGATTTTTCATAAAACATGTTTGTGACACCAAGCCTCACCCAGCCTGGCCTTGGACACTTCCAGGGATGGGACAACTTCTCTGGGCAACCCATGCCCACCCTTACAGGGAGGAGTTTTTCCTCAAATCCCATCTAAATCCCCTCTTTTCCAACGTGAAGCCATCCCCCCTTGTCCTGGCACTCCAGGCCCTTGTCCAAAGCTCTCCTGGAGCCCATTGAGGTGCTGGAAGGGGCTCTGAGATCTCCCTGGAGCTTTTTATTCTTCCTGGGCTGCAGAGCTGCTGCTCCTCCTGCCTGGGAAAGGCTGGCAGGGCCACGGGAGCGCTCGGGGCTCCTGGCACAGCTCTGCCCACGAGGACACAACCCCCTGCCCGTGCTCCAGGCCTGGGTTCACCCCCTGGCTCCATCCCAGCCAGGAGACAGCTCCCCATTGTCCTGGAGCGAGGGAACACGATGAGCCAGGGACAGGATTGCTCCCGGAGGGCTCTGAGGACACGAGGGGGGAGGAGGCCCCCAAATCACCAGCAGGAATTTGGGCTGGGAAAGCAACCCCCTGCCCGTGCTCCAGGCCTGGGTTCACCCCCTGGCTCCATCCCAGCCAGGAGACAGCTCCCCATTGTCCTGGAGCGAGGGAACACGATGAGCCAGGGACAGGATTGCTCCCGGAGGGCTCTGAGGACACGAGGGGGGAGGAGGCCCCCAAATCACCAGCAGGAATTTGGGCTGGGAAAGTGAGGAGCCCCCCAAATCACCAGCAGGAAAGTGGGCTGGGAATTTGGGCTGGGAAAGTGAGGAGCCCCCCAAATCACCAGCAGGAATTTGGGCTGGGGAAGTGAGGAGCCCCCCCAGATCACTGCCAGGAATTTGAGCTGGGAATGTTGGGGTGCAGGATGCTCTGTGGGACGGGGTGCTGAGTCTGAGTCTCTCCAAGGAAAGCTGTCTGTGAGGAGTGGGATATTGTAATTTTTCTTTTTTTTTTCAGGAGCCCTGAGTGTGTTTTGGGGGGTTCTCTCCTCCCAGAAGCAGCAGATTCCGGGGTGAAATGAGGCACCCACTGCTTTGGGTGGGATGTGGAGGCACAGTGAGCTGTGGACCTCCATCCACACGCCATGGGCTGACAGAAAATCGAGGCAAAAAATGCTAAAAAATCCTATTTTGAAAAACGTGGCCATGTGACCCCTTCACCTCCAGCACAAGGGGGAGGGTTCAGCCGAAGTGGGCCACAGGTGACACCCAGAGCAGCACATCTGCCACCCACCTCTGCACGCCCCACCTTGGCATGTCCGGGATGTCCAACCTTCCAGCAGTGCAGTTCCCCCACCCTGCTGCAATCCCACCTCCCTTTCCTTTTTCCTTTCCTTTCCTTTCCTTTCCTTTCCTTTCCTTTCCTTTCCTTTCCTTTCCTTTCCTTTCCTTTCCTTTCCTTTCCTTTCCTTTCCTTTCCTTTCCTTTCCTTTCCTTGAATAATTTCTTAACTGGGATCTCTAGTTTCTTACTTTTAAAAAGGAAATTATATTGTTTTGGAGAGCAATTCAGTATATTTAAAGTGCTGCTTTCAAAGATGTGCTAAAATGTTGATGAGATCAGTTACTTTTATTACAAATTTTTTGTATTAATTGCCAAGTAAATGATGTTAGGCTGAATCTTACTCAGCTGCAGTAGTCATTACTAAAGAAGAAAAAAAATTCTCAATAGAGAAATGGCAAAAATTGAAGAAATAGTGTTTGAGAATTAATTAGATACTGGTTTAATCAGGTCAACATGTTTAATTTCAATGTACAATCGTATAAATAAATCTGAAGTAATGTAAGGTGTAGACTTTTCCTCTGCATACTTGCCAAACAGGAGGCACAAGGAATAGATATTATTACTTATTTTCTAACAGCCCCTCTTCATTATAGCACAGAAGCTTGGGCTCAGTTCTCTCCATTATTCTGAGCCAGCACATTACAAGGAAAAGTAAGATGATCTGAGTTTAAATGTTATTCTGAAGAGTGTATTTCTCTCATACTGTTCTGAACTCTCTTCATTGATGTGTTACTATCAAACCCAGACAAATTAAATACTAGATTCAGAGCTACTCCTTCTCAAAAGTAACTCTCATGAACAGGTGATCAGAGTTCACAAACAGTTCAGTGAAGTTCATCAAGATCTGAAAGTGGTGTTCAGTGTCCCAGGGAACAGTACCCTTGCTACTGAGCATGTTTGAATAAATGGGATGTCCCTTTCACTGTCCAGCTTTGCCGTACCAAAATATTTCACCAGAATCTGTTCATCAAAATGATTATAGATCTATAACTTGTTTCTGGGTGACCAAAATTGAGGTTTTAAGTACAATATATTGTCAAAAGCAGTCTGTCACTGCTCCATTAATAAAGTTACTACAATGTTGGTAAATGAAAGTTGTGGTTAACCAACTCTAATTGCTGGGTTTTAAATAGGATTATTCTATTATTCAGTAACTGCAGTTTTCCTGAATTTAATATCTATGATCTATTTTGAAAATTCCCTTCCCTTCCCTTCCCTTCCCTTCCCTTCCCTTCCCTCTCCTCCCTTTCCCTTTCCCTTTCCCTTTTCCTTTTCCCTTTCCCATCCCGCAGGACGCGGATCCGCTCTCACCTGGCTCCGCGAAACTCAGCAGCTCGTACTCCTGCAGCCCCGTCCCGCGGCCGTCCCGGAGCATCCCGGGGGTACCGGCTCCATCCCGGAGCATCCCGGGGGTACCGGCTCCATCCCAGAGCATCCCGGGGGTACCGGCTCCATCCCGGAGCATCCCGGGGGTGCCGGTCCCGTCCGGGCGCTGTGCCCGCATCCTGCGCAGCGCCGTCAGCAGCGAGCCCCGGTCCGGCGGCCGCGGCACGCCCGGCCTGCCCGGTAAGCGGAGCTTGGCCAGGATGCTCTGCTTGGCCAGAGCCAGCAGCGCGTCCCGCCGAGCGCCGGGGGCCAGCGCGGCCACCCCGCAGGCCGGGCACAGCTGCTCCTGGGCGACAGCCATCCCCAGGAGGCTCAGGAGGAGGAAAACCGCGGTGAGCGACATCGCCGGTGGCCGGAGGTGACAGCGTGGCAACAGAACCGGAGAGGCGGCGGCGGCGGGGAGCGGAGCGGAGCGGAGCGGGACTGGGAGGGAGCACGGGGCGAGCATGGGCTCGATCTCCTGACGTGGCCGCAAATATTGGCTGATCCCGGGCGAGATAAACGCCCCGGAGCCGCCGGCAGCGGGCACAGCGCCGCGGCCGCGCCGGGAAAGGTGGAGCCGGGCCGGGGCTGCTGCTGCTCGGGGGGCGCGGGGACATCGAGGGCACCCCGGTGCCACCCCGGTGCCACTCCGGTGCCACCCCGGTGCCACTCGGTGTACTCGGTGCCATCCTGGTGTCACCCGGTGCCACCCGGTGCCACCCCGGTGCCACTCGGTGTCACCCCGGTGTCATCTCGGTATCATCCTGGTGCCACCCCTGTGTCACTCGGTGCCATCCCGGTGCCACTCCTGTGTCTCTCGGTGTCACTCGGTGCCACTCCGGTGCCACTCCTGTGTCTCTCGGTGTCACTCGGTGTCACTCGGTGCCACTCGGTGCCATTCTGGTGCCACTCGGTGTCACTCGGTGCCACTCGGTGCCATTCTGGTGCCACTCGGTGTCACTCGGTGCCACTCGGTGCCACTCGGTGTCACCCCGGTGTCATCTCGGTGTCATCCTGGTGCCACCCCGGTGTCACTCGGTGCCACCCTGGTGTCACTCGGTGCCACTCCAGTGTCACTCGGGGTCACCTCGGAGTCACTCCGGTGTCACTCGGGGTCACTCCGGTGCCACCCCGGTGCCGTCCCGGCGGTGCACGGGCAGGGACGCGGTGGGGACTCCCGAGGACACGCGGGGGGGATCCCGGAGCTCCGAGAAGGGGGATTTTGAGGGGTCGAGGGGTCGCTGGGAGAGGGGAGATCCCGGGGGATGCTCAGAGAAAGGGAAGCCCAGGCGGGTGGGGGTTCCTGGGGGATGAGGGACCCTTGGGGATTTGGGATCCATGGGGGGGACGAGAGATCCCTGGGAATGAGGGGTCTCCAGAGATGTGGGATCCCCGGGGATGGAGAATCTCTGGCGAGTTTGGGATCATCGGGGAGATGTGGGACCCCTGGGGATTGAGGATCCTGGAGGTTGTGGGATCCCTGGTGATGTGGGACCCCCGGGGAAATGTGGGACCCCTGCGGAATTTGGGACCCCTGGAGAAATGTGGGACCCCCGGTGAACTTGGGATCCTGGGGATGGAGGATCCTGGGGGCTGTGGGACCCCTGGTGATGGGGGATTCCCTAGAGAGATGTGGGACCCCCAGTGAATTTGGGACCCCCTGGGAATTTGGGACCCCCTGGGAATTTGGGACCCCCGGGGAGGTGTGGGATCCCTGGGGAATTTGGGACCCCTGGGGAATTTGGGACCCCAGGGGAGATGTGAGACCCCCAGTGAATTTGGGACCCCCTGGGAATTTGGGACCCCCGGGGAGATGTGAGACCCCCGGTGAGGATTTGGGATCCATGGGGGGGACGAGAGATCCCTGGGAATGAGGGGTCTCCAGAGATGTGGGATCCCCGGGGATGGAGAATCTCTGGCGAGTTTGGGATCATCGGGGAGATGTGGGACCCCTGGGGATTGAGGATCCTGGAGGTTGTGGGATCCCTGGTGATGTGGGACCCCCGGGGAAATGTGGGACCCCTGCGGAATTTGGGACCCCTGGAGAAATGTGGGACCCCCGGTGAACTTGGGATCCTGGGGATGGAGGATCCTGGGGGCTGTGGGACCCCTGGTGATGGGGGATTCCCTAGAGAGATGTGGGACCCCCAGTGAATTTGGGACCCCCTGGGAATTTGGGACCCCCGGGGAGGTGTGAGACCCCCAGTGAATTTGGGACCCCTGGGGAATTTGGGACCCCAGGGGAGATGTGAGACCCCCAGTGAATTTGGGACCCCCTGGGAATTTGGGACCCCCGGGGAGATGTGAGACCCCCGGTGAATTTGGGATCCCCGGGGAATTTGGGACCCCCGGTGAATTCGGGACCCCCGGGGAGGTGTGGGATCCCTGGGGAATTTGGGACCCCCTGGGAATTTGGGACCCCCGGGGAGGTGTGGGATCCCTGGGGAATTTGGGACCCCCGGTGAATTCGGGACCCCCGAAGGGGCCGATCCGAACTCCCCTACGTGGGGGGCGGAGCCACGACAACAGGGCGGAGCCTGTCGTTAACCCCGCCCATTACCACGCCCCTTTCCATAAAAGGCGCCCCTCCTCTCCCTCCCCGCCAGGGGGCGCCCCCCGCCCCTCCCGCCGTCCCCGCCGCGCAGCGTCCCCCCGGTTGCCACAGCAACGCGCGCGCGCGCGGGCGCAGGGCGATGACGCGGCGCGCACAGCGCGTTGACGCAGCGCGCACGCCGCGGGGGAGGGGCCCCCCCCTCTTTCCCTTTTTTTCCCGGGGCTGCTCCTCCCGGGGATGGATCCCGGCCCGGGGCTGCCCCTCCCGGGGATGGATCCCGGCCCGGGGCTGCTCCTCCCGGGGATGGATCCCGGCCCGGGGCTGCCCCTCCCGGGGATGGATCCCGGCCCGGGGCTGCGCCTCCCGGGGATGGATCCCGGCCCGGGGCTGCTCCTGGAGGGGGTCCCGGCCCGGGGCTGCGCCTCCGGGGTCGCTCGGTGCGGGATCCGGCTCGTGCCGTTCTCAGGGTCCGGTTCCCGTTCTGCCCCTATCGGGCTCCGGTTCATTCATTCCCTGTCCCTCTCGGGCTCCGGTTCGTTCATTCCGTGTCCCTCTCGGGCTCCGGTTCGTTTATTCCGTGTCCCTCTCGGGCTCCGGTTCCCGTCCTGTCTCTATCGGGATCCGGTTCCCGTCTTGCCCCTCTCGGGGTCCGGCCCCGGTTCCTTCCCTGCCTTTCCCGGGGTCCGGTTCTCGTTCTGCCCCTCTCCGGTTCCGTCCTTGCCGCTCTCCGGGTCCGGGCCCGGTTCCTTCCCTGTCCCTCTCCGGGTCCGGGCCCGGTTCTTGCCCTGCCCCTCTCCAGACCCGCTTCCTTCCCTGCCCTTCTCGGGGTCCGGTTCCCGTCCTGTCCCTCTCCGGGTCCGGTTCCCGTCCTGTCCCTCTCCGGGTCCGGTTCTCGTTCTGCCCCTCTCGGGCTCCGCTTCCCCACGGGCACCGCGTTGGCTCTGGAATTCTGGATTTTTCCCACAAAATGTGGGAATTTTGTGGAATTATTCCCCCCCTGCAGGTGGGAAGGTGCAGCTTTGGAGGGGTGCAGAGGCTCTGTGCTGATGGGATACATAAAAAATGTGGTTTTTGGTTTTTTTGGGGGCTTTTTTTTGGGGTTTTTTTGGTTTAAATCTTCCCAGGGATTCTGGTTTTGGTACCTGCTGAAGGTCAGAGTTGTTTCTGTGCCCTGGCAGGAGCTGTTGTAGGTGAGCTGATGGTAATTAAAGTGTTAATTAAAGGGTCTCTGGAATGTGCTGGTAGAAATTTGTGCTTCTGAGCTCCAGAATCCTTGGTGCTCCTTCCTCAACACTTTTAATTCCAATTAATTTAAATTTCCTGCTGTCCCCTTGGGTTTCCTGGCTCAAACCCAACGTGGGCTCAGATCCTCCAGGATCTCCCCGTGCTGGTTCCTGATCCTGGGAGCTGATTGAGCCTGATCCCTCTGACCTGGGGCATCCTCTTAGGGCCACAGGAGCTTTTCCATCAGCTCTGCTCCTGGAGCACTCCTGTTCTTCTGCACTCTTGGGAAAAACCAGGTGGATTTTTGGGAAATCGGGACCAGAGTGGGAATTGCATCCCTGGGAAGCTGTGGGGGGAGGATCTGGGGTTCTGCTCATTGCTGGGGTGGGCAGTGCTGAGTCTCACAGGAGTTGTTGGTTCCTGGAAGAGGGGTTGGGAGGAATTACAGGTCCTGGAAGTGTCCAGGGCTGGGTTGGACAGACCTTGGAGCAGGGATGGTGAAACTGGGACTTAAAAATCCCCAACCCAACCCACTGCAGGATTCCCAGATCAGAGGAACTGACCTGGATGGGGAGGAAGCTGCTGTTTTCTTTTTTTTGGATGAATTTCCAAGTGTGGGAAATGAATTTGTAGAGAATTATTCTCCAAACCTAACAGAAAGCTCTCATAGTGTCCATCTATGTACAAAGTTTGACATAAAAAATGCCAATTTAGAAATGACATGCAATAAACCATTGTTGAAAGAGAAACAAGAAGAGAGGTTGGGAGGAATTACAGCTCCTGGAAATGTCCAGGGCTGGGTTGGACAGACCTTGGAGCAGGGATGGTGAAATTGGGACTTAAAAATCCCCAACCCAAACCACTGCAGGATTCCCAGATCAGAGGAACTCACCTGGTTGGGGAGGAAGCTGCTGTTTTCTTTTTTTGGATGAATTTCCAAGTGTGGGAAATGAATTTATAGAGAATTCTCCATACCCAAGAGAAAGCTCACATTCCCTCCCAGCCCAAACCACTGCAGATTCCCTGGTCAGATGAGCTCACCTGCATGGGGAGGAGCTGCTGTTTTATTTTTTGGATGAATTCCCTAGAGTGGGAAATGAATTCCCAAGGCCACTTGGAGCAGGGATGGTGGAACTGGATGAGCTTTAATTCCCTCCCAGCCCACACCACTGCAGGATTCCCTGTTAGAGGAGCTCACCTGGACGGGGAGGAGCTGCTGTTTTCTTTTTTGGATGAATTCCCCAGAGTGGGAAATGAAATTGTAGAAAATTTTCCAATTCTCCAAACCTAAGAGAAAGCTCTTACAGTGTGCATCTGTGTACAAACCTTGAGATAAAAGATGCTAACTTAGAAATGCCATAGAATAAAATATTGTTGAAAGAGAAATAAGAAGAGAGGTTGGAAGGAATTGCAGCTCCCTGGAAGTGTCCAGGGCTGGGTTGGAGCTGGGCTGGTGGAACTGATGATTTTTAATTCCCTCCCAACCCAAACCTCTGCAGATTCCCTGTTAGAGGGGCTCACCTGGATGGGCAGAAACTTCTGTTTTATTTCTTTGAGTGAATTTCCAAGTGTGGGAAATGAATTCCCAAGGCCATTTGGAGCAGGGATGGTGGAACTGGATGAGCTTTAATTCCCTCCCAGCCCAAACCACTGCAGCATTCCCTGGTTAGAATGGCTGGTGAACTGACCTGGATGGGAAGAAACTGCTAGTTTTTTTCTTTTTAAATGAATTCCCTAGAGTGGGAAATAAATTCCCAAGGCCAGTTGGAGCAGGGATGGTGGAACTGGATGAGCTTTAATTCCCTCCCAACCCAAACCACTGCAGGATTCCCTGGTCAGAGGAGCTCACCTGGATGGGGAGGAGCTGCTGTTTTATTTTCTGAATGAATTCTCAAGAGTGGGAAATGAATTCCCAAGGCCACTTGGAGCAGGGATGGTGGAACTGGATGAGCTTTAATTCCCTCCCAGCCCAAACCACTGCAGCATTCCCTGGTTAGAATGGCTGGTGAACTGACCTGGATGGGAAGAAACTGCTCGTTTTTTTTCTTTTTAAATGATTTCCCTAGAGTGGGAAATGAATTCCCAAGGCCACTTGGAGCTGGGCTGGTGGAACTGATGGTTTTTAATTCCCTCCCAACCCACCCCACTGCAGGATTCCCTGCTCAGAGGGGCTCACCTGGACGGGGAGGAGCTGCTGTTTTATTTTTTGGATGAATTCCCAAGGCCACTTGGAGCTGGGCTGGTGGAACTGATGGTTTTTAATTCCCTCCCAACCCACCCCACTGCAGGATTCCCTGCTCAGAGGGGCTCACCTGGATGGGAAGAAACTGCTGTTTTCTTTTTTGGATGAATTCCTGAGGCCACTTGGAGCAGGGCTGGTGGAACTGATGATTTTTAATTCCCTCCCAACCCAAACCTCTGCAGATTCCCTGCTCAGAGGGGCTCACCTGGACGGGGAGGAGCTGCTGTTTTCTTTTTTGGATGAATTCCCGAGGGAGGAGCAGCCCCCGGGGCTCTGGAGCAGGAGAAGACCCAGGGCCAGCCCCTCCTTCCAGGGCCAGCCCCTCCTTCCTTCCAGCTGCTGCCTGTGACACCGGATCCCCCTGGCGTGGAGCTCCCCTTTTAGCAGCGCTGCCATTTGTGGTGCTAAATTTAAGGTGGTGGCAGTGCTGCTATTCCAAAAGCCTGGTTTGGGGGGGGAAGGTGCCTAAATCACCCCTTGGAGGTGCCTAAACCACTGCTTCCAGCGCCAGTGCTGCCCCAGCCCCTCATGATCTCATTTAATAGTCATTAAAACCCGGATCAATTGGAATAAATTGATGGGGTTTTAATTGTTTCCAAGGAGGAGGAGGCTGCCCCAGGGGGGATCAGTGTCCAAACTTCCAGAGCAGCTTTGGGAGCTCTTGTCCCTCCTCTGTCACCCAGGGAGTTCTTCCCAAGTGATTTGGAGCAGGAGGTGCAGCCAGAGGCAGGGAGCACAGCTTGGCACCTTGAAGACTTTTCAAAAAGCTTTTTTTTTTGGCTAAAGAGAAACTGAATGAATTAATCTTGCCAATATTTAGGGCTGCTGGTGCTTCCCCTGCCATCCTGTGCCAAGGTGCTTTTCTTGCCTTAAATTCTTCCCAAATATCCATTTCTGGCTGGATCCAAAGGCTCCAGCAGAGGTTGAAACCCATATTAAAATGTTTTAATGCCTGTTGAGATGATGCTGAGCCTCTCACCACGGCTGCAGGGGCAGAACTCGCAGTGGATTCATTTCCCAAGGGAATAAAAGTGGGAAATGTTGGTGTCTCTGTGTTTGTGGCAGCCCTGGCTGGGAGGGGGGTGTTGGCAGGAAACAAAAAT